TTCAAGGTCTGCTTGTGAGTGAGAACATGTGATACTCAGCTCTTTGCTTCTGTGAAAGATCACTCAGTATTATAGACTGTTTAAGTCCCTCTAGGTTGCTGCAAAGTTCATGATTTTGTTCTTCTTTACGGCTGTGTAATATTCCATCGTGTATACGTACCAAATTTTAAAAATCCAGTCCTCTTTTGATGGGCAGCACGGTTGGTTCCATGTACTTGCTACTGTGAACAATGCTGTGATAAAAATACGTGTGCAGACAGTGAAATTCTTTACCCCCTGCCCCCTTTACAGAAAGTAGTGCCTACCCACAAATTGATCCCTTTCTAAGATTCACCCATCCCGCTTATCAGAGGAATCCTAGGACTTCAGTATCCCACAGCAGAACTCCTCTCCACATCTGAGTTAATTAACCAAGATTTATGTAATAGGGGAGGGAGGTGGTGGTTTTGCTAGAACTGTCCCAGGTGAGCTTTGGTACTCCAGGTACAATCCTGACAGATGAAGGGGCAGATGTCTTGTCTTTCCTCCTGATGATCCTGGTAGCAGCTACCGGATATCTCATAAACACACACACACACACACACACACACACACACACACACTTCCACCATTCTCAAATATCATCAGTATGTTCTCTACCTGCACAAAGCAAAATAAACTTGCTTTCTAAAGTATGACCTAATGGACACATATCCCTGTCCTCCATGAATTTGGTGCATTATTTTTATTTTTATTTTTGAGTTGGAGTCTTACTCTCTCACCCAGATTGGAGTGCAGTGGCCACTCCCGGCCACTGCAGCCTCGACCTCCTCGGCTCCAGCGATCCTCCCGCCTCAGCCTTCCAAGTAGCTGGAACTACAGGCGCGCGCTACCACACCCGGCTAATTTTTGATTTATTGTAGAGATGAGGTCTCGCCAAGTTGTCCAGGCGGGTCTTGAACCTGTGGGCTCAAGCAATGCACTCACCTCAGCCTCCCAAAGCGCTGGGATTACAGGCTGAGCCACCAAGTCTGGCTAGTTTGGTGCTTTATTTTCATACAAAGCCGTGTTATCTCAGATGCATTCATTTTCCAGCCCCTACATCTTGTCTAGAGGTCTCTAGGAGCATAAGGAATGAGGCCAATGACTCTGTCTGTAAAGCACACAGCCACCTGGCCCTGAATGGCTACACTAAAATCTAGGCCCCCAAGGCTCTGAGATACCCCGCTGATCAAATAATGATTTTAGGCCGGGCATCTCCATACTGTCACCTGTAAGAGGAAGGGAGGCCATGTGTGGGAGGCTGCTCAGCCTCACCAGTGGGTCGCGCTGGAGGTTAGCTTTGTAGGTTTTGAGGGTGTGGAAATGGTGGTAAGTCCACATTTATCTTAATCTAGTTATTTACAATTTCATTGGCTTCGATCCTCCTTTTAACCTTTATCTTTCTATACTAAATAATGATTTTTAAAAACATTTTCTATCAACAGATAATCTCCTCTCCCCCACTCCATTATTCAGTTATCCTTATCTAGCTATAAGATACCTTGCTCCCAAATGTTCGCCTGCGGACTTAGGCCGTCTGCCAAGATGTTGTGTTCTGCCATTGCTTAGGTAATAGTTTTCAAATATTTACCACTTTTAGCTTTGTCTCATCTTATCTCTTTCAGGCTTTAAGAGTTGATCTCTAATTAAAGTTTCATAAGAATTTTAAAATCCGTCCATGCCCATCCTACCTGAAACTCTCATTGTACTAAATTTTTAATATCACACCCTTTTTTAACCTTTGGCTTTGCATTTCAAAGGCATGTAACAGGTCATCAGTCTTGCATACAGTAAGCACTTAGTTAACATTTGGTTTTATTGATCTAGTGGTTCTGAATAACAAGATTATTCCTTCATTTAAACTTCCATTTAAAATTTAATCAAATGCCTTTGTGGTATGAGGAACTGGCTACAGAGATACATGTGATTTTCAAGGCAAAAGATCAAATTCCAAAAAGACACTTCTTCCAGGTGTAAGGTATGGAAAGTGTATTGAGGCTATTGGAAGTTCAGAGTGTAACATCAGGTCACCTGAGTTAGAAAATTCTTACCCTGATTTATAGGTGCTGTGACCTTGGGAAAGTTATCTAATCTCTCCAGCTTCAGTGTTATCATCTAGAAAAATGAGGATAATAATAATATATATCTTGTATGGTTTGTTGAGGTTTGAATGAGTTAATGCCCACAGCACTGGCCCATAGAAAGAACTTAGTCCATGTAAGCTGTTATTATTGTGCTGCTTGTTCTTCCAAGTGAATGATTCAGACATTGAATATGTCAGTGTTTTTCAAGTGTAGACAGAGGGCCATCTCTATCAAAATCAACTTAGGTACGTTTAATTTATGCAGATGCATGGGCCCCGCCCCTGGCTTACTGAATCATGCTTTTTCACACTGAGGCATAAGCATCTATATTTTACCTAGCTGCTCGGGTATACGTGGATGAGAGGACTTCTTGGTTACTGGCAGATCTTTTACCTGCTGCTACCAGGCTCCTGAGCTGTTTTGTGTGAGTTATGGCAGTCGAGACTGGGTGGGCAGCAGCATCCACCCACTTAGTCATGTCTCAGATGACCTGTTGGCCCAAATATCTGGCAAGTTCTTGAAGACCATTCTAAGAAGGAGTTACACACTGTGACGCACAGAAGTTGTACTTGTCTTTGTCTGACGTTCATCTCTGAATCCTTTTCCATACTAGATTTAGGCAAAAACTAGGGGTGTGTGAAAAAAGATAAGAAATGAGGTAGGAACATCTCTATTAGAATTGCAAGAGAATTAAATTAGAAAGCAGAGGATCTAAGTGAGGAATTAAAAAAAAAAGGCAGCCAGGCTCGGTGGCTCAGGTTGTAATCCCGCGCTTTGGGAGGCTGAGGTGAGTGGATTGCCTGAGCCCGTGGGTTCGAGACCCGCCTGGGCAGGTGAGACCTCATCTCTACAATAAATCAAAAAATTAGCTGGGCGTGGTAGCGCGTGCCTATAGTTCCAGCTACTTGGAAGGCTGAGGCGGAAGGATCGCCGGAGCCCAGCAGGTTGAGGCTGCGGTGGCCGGGAGTGGCCACTGCACTCCAGTCTGGGTGACAGAGTGAGACTCCAACTCAAAAAAAAAAAAAAGCATCCAAAGGGACATATTCGTGCCAACCACTGAGCATCTTTAGACTTTTTACTCTTTGTCCCTTGGGGACAGCTGCTGGGGACAGTGGAAGAGTTTGAAGGGGCTTTGGTCTGTGTGAATAGATGTTTGCTGACAACAGGCCAATTTCAACTTAGTTTCAAGCCATTAAATTTTAGTTTTATTGGCATCTCGGAAATGCAGCTATTGTTCTATTTCCCTGGCACAACTATCCCAGGAGGCAGGCTGCAACTTGTCCTATTTGCCCAAGCCATAGTTGGGCCCCCCCAGGGAGAGGACAGTCAGATGGTGCTGTTTTGATAGTATGCCCATCTCCTGATAGGAAGAAGTCACTGAGGTGGTGGCTCGTCAACTTCTTTCCTTGGGTCCTCAAAGTGTAGGACCTATAGCCTGGTAGCTTTTGTGCCTGGCATCTTTGTGTCCTGTGGACAGGCTGGCCCCTTCTGGGGAGGTCTGGCTTAGTTGTGATGGGGACACACCTTTGTGTGTGTAAGGAGGTTGGTGGTTAATGATTCCGTAGGCATAGGTTCTTGAATAGTCTTTCATAAATGGTAGCTCAAACTTTTCACCACTGACAGATAAGGGGCAGGGCTTTGGCATTTTTCAGTTTCAAGCTTGCATTCTTCCTGGCTGGGCAACATTGGGCAGGAGGCATAACTTCTCTGAGCCTCAGACTTCTTTAGCTATCATTGTTGTGAAGATTTAATGAGCAAACGTGAGAAAATCCTTAGACAATTCTGGCACACAGGAGGGGCTCAGAAAATAATAAACACAATCAGTTGCTGAGGGTACCAGTATTCCTACCATTGTGCTGAAATTTGGACCATGGAAAATGCCCCCCAGATCTCACTTCAGGGATGAAGTCCTATACGTCAATGCCCTCAGCAAATAGGATTTAACAGTATCGTTTACTATAGCTAGGTTAGATAACTCCTCTTTACCTTAAAAGACAGGCTTCTTCAAATAGATTAATCAGAGGAAGCAGACTCTGAAATACAGTCGTGATCAGCATGGTCAGTCCTACAATTTGTAAACATGAGTGGTGCATATTTAAAGACCTAAGGCAGAGGTTCAGAGACATAACATAAGGCAACAATGACTTCTAAACTTGTGGTTGCATCAACGGCAGGACGGATCTTAAGAGAAAGACGATCAAGTATTTGCCCAGAAAGTTTACAACGCAATATTTTGGAAATGAAAAGGAATTAGGTACAGGCTAACATTGCTGTAGGTAACATGTGCTTTTTGGTCATGCTAACATTTCATTGACTAATGTGAGAAATGAGAAACGAATGATTCATAATTGTCTTTAATGTTCCTCCAAGATGCATCCCCTCATCCAGAGTGAGGCAAAATTTTCCTTTTCCACCATCACAATTGTGCTTACTTATATGCTGCAGGAGCCAAGGCATCTCACCACTTTTTTTTTTTTTTTTTTTGAGTTGGAGTCTCACTCCATTGCCCAGGCTGGAGTGCAGTGACACACTCAGAGCCACCCAATTGTCGACCTGCTGGGCTCAGGCAATCCCTCTGCCTCAGCCTTCCAAGTAGCTGAAACTACAGGTGCACACTACCACATCCAGCTAATTTTTTGATTTATTGTAGAGATGAGGTCTTGCCAAATTCCCCAGGCTGTTCTTGAACCCTTGGACTCAGGCAATCCATTTACTCCGGTCTCCCAAAGTGCTGAGATTACAGGCTTGAGCCACCATGCCCAGCCTCTCACCACATTTTAAATTAACTTTACACTCATAAAACCCTTGAAGAGTAATTAGTGATCTCCAGAATTAATTGATAATATCCAAATCAATCAGCAACTACTGTCAAAAATTAAAAAAAACTCAACATTGAGTAATACAAAATTATTTATTAGTTTTAAAAGAGAGAGAGAGAGAGAACTTGTTTATTACACAGAAAAATAAAACAATGGGAAGTTCCCTATAAAAACTTTAACCATGAGCATACAAAGTAGGAATGGCACTGTGAGTGAGTTTGGGGACTTCATATTAACGCCTAAGTTGGAAATAGAAAATTGAAAATGGTGACATGTAAACTGTGCTTGTGACATTTCGATCGCAAGTTGCATATTTTGGAGCGTCATCTAGACATGGTAGAAACATAGATATACCCATGCCAGGTTCCAAATCACTCATTTCTATTAACTATAGTAGATGTCACAGTTTGTGTCCCTCTTATAGAAATCGCTGGCGGCGGCTGCTGAGGGGGCAAAGTCCACACAGTCTGTGCCTGGATAGAAGAACTCTGATGCTCTGAGAGCATCCAGGTGCTCAGCTTCACAAGATGGGCAGTAGCAGGCGGAAGTAGTGGCCGAGGAGAAGCAGTTGTATTGAGCGTGTGAAGACAAGTGATGGTAGGCGTAGTCTTCTGGGGAGTAGCCACAGTTTCTGGTGTCCAGAGAAGGGGGAGAACTGTAATTCTCCAGAGCATATGAAGGCAGCTGAGCAGGAGAGTAGCTGTAGTCTAAGGAGCCAGAAAGTGTGGAGGAATCTGAAGGCGATCCTGGCGTCTAGAGAAATGAAAACCAAGGAACAAAGAGTTTGATAACTTAGACATGATCAAAAGGACTGAACCGTGTGGCTTTATTAATGCAGAGTAAGAAAGCTAGCGGTGAGAAACAAAACACCCAAGTCAAGTCTACAGAAGGAATTCTATTTGCTGACGACATGATTTCATGACGCGAACTTCTCTGCTTACCCAGTTCTTTCCCAACAATCTATTGCCTTGCTTCACTGGCTTCCTTTGTTATAACCATTCTCCAGAGGATACTTTGCTCTTAAACCACAAAATCCCATTGTGCTTCAAGTCACCTGCACATCAAATCCTGCTGTGTGCCATAATGTAAGCTGCAGGTGGCACGTTGGATGTTTCTCCACACCCTCACCGTGGAGAACCAGGGGAACATATGAAAGTAGAACTTGGACCTAGTGTCTGGGATACTCCTAGATGAGTAACTACTCTTCCTGCTACTAGCATCTTGTTCCCTGGTAAGACAGGTACCGTCTGCTTTCTCTTAAGCAGGTCTACAACTGTTACTGAGAAAGCTTACTTGGAGGCTGGAGGGGAACCAGGTCGCTTCCCAATGCAACAGGCATATTCTGCAGAATTAATTTCCTGTGCCCTCTAAAATTTAGTCTGTTGCTCGCAGACTTTTGACAATCCAAAAGAAAAAAACGATTTACATCTATTTTTAAAAACTCACAATTTGAGGTTTAAAAAAAAACTGAAAGACAACTAAAATAATTAATCAATACAATATTTCATTTTAGAGGATAAAGCATTTTTGAACATTTGAGATCCATCAAGGACAGACAGATGACCCAAATTCTTTCAAAGATTTGGGCTTCATTTTTACTAACCATCTCAGACCCAGAGGAGTTCTTGTGCCTATAGCAGATCAAAACAACCAGTTAGTAGACCAAGTTCAGCGACAAAGCAAAAAGCCCCCTGTCAGAATGAAGTTTGGTACTGTGTAGACGGAGCCCTAATTCCACTTCCAAGAACTCGAAAATCCATAAAAAATCCAAGGGCCAGTCATTGTTTAAACCAGGGACTTCCGATTAGTAGGTTTCTCAACTTCACAGTTTAGAAAATAGCACATTAATATTGTCAGGAGCCTCTTCTTATGGCTACACATCAACTTATTTGGGAGGGGCCTGCTTGGGAAATCAAAATTATATGTGTATTCCAAGGTTTGTACCCTGTAATTTGTAGCTATCTCCACAAATTGACTTTTTGTTTTTGGTTTTTGACCCGGGATCTCACTCTTTTGCCCAGGCTGGAAGGCAGTGGCACGATCATGACTCACTGTAGTCTGGACCTCTTGGGTTCAGATGACCCTTCTGCTTCAGCCTCCCAAGTAGCTGGGACTATAGGTGTGTGCCATCACACCTGGTTTACTTATTATTATTATTATTTGTATAGATGAGGTCTTGCTATGTTGCCCAGGCTGGTCTCAAACTACTGGTCTCAAGCAATCCTCCTACCCAGCTTCCCAGAGTGCTAGGATTACAGGTGTGAGCCACTGTACTTGCCCCACACTGACTTTCAAATTGTTCTCTGCTTATTTTCTTCAATGATTTCCTTGTTAGCGTTTGTATGATTTCTCACAAGACGATGCAAACTCACTAACAAAGCAGTACTATCCCCTAGTCAGCAATATTCAGGAGAACAAAGAACTGGGATAAATTACCAAGCTCTGGTTAAAGCAGAAAGGGGCAGCCTGGAAGCCGTCTGGGAAACAGGGTGGGCCACCTTGCATGGAATTGAGCGAAGACTCTGAGTATGTCTCTGTCTGAAGATAGGAGTCAAAGATCTGGTCCAGGCAGCTTGGGTTTTCTTCACAAGAAACACAGCTGGAAAATTCTCGGGGTTGAAAATAATTGGATGTGGAAGAAATAGATTCTGGTTCAAAATACAGTCCTAGAGTAAAAAGGAAAAAGACAGATTTTTGCATACAAATTGCACTTCTGGATTTGAGTGCAGTTCTATATTCTGAATATTTTATTTTACTTTATTTTATTTTGTTGGAGACTTACTCTGTTGCCCAAGCTGGAGTGCTGTGGCATGCTCACGACCACCGCAGCCTTGCCTGCTGGGCTTAGGCGATCCTTCCGCCTCAGCCTTCCAAGTAACTGGAACTACAGGCGCGTGCCACCACGACTGGCTAATTTTTAAATTTATTATAGAGATGAGGTCTCACCAAGTTGCCAGGCTGGTCTCGAACCTCTGGCTCAGGCAATCCTCTCGCCTTGGCCTCCCAAAGTGCTGGGATTACAGTCTTGAGCCATCTTGCCCGGTCTTTTATATTCTGAATGTTTATTATGTTTAGGGGGCTTAAGAAGTTCCAGAAAAGTAAACAGAAAGGCAGTTTGGACCTTTTGGATGTCTTAACTAATTCAAGTCCCAGGGAAATGAACCTGGCTAATAACCCATAAATGTGTAAATGTGGCTAGAGCAAAAATAAAATACTGGTGATCCAGTCTGTGTCCAAGTGTCACAAATAATGGCTCAAGCCTTCACTGTCTTGGGCTGTCAAAGCTCCTACTGGCAGTTCAGATAAACCTTGCTAGGAGTCACTGACAGAGTTGTTGAGGCATTGAGAAAAATTCTGATTCTATGGGAAATACTTGTCCTGATTTTGGGTGACTGCTTTCCTAAATTTTTCACACTTAGTGATTTAAATTATGAGAAAGTTGAGAAATGATTTAAATGGCAATGCAAATGATAAACACAGAAATGAGGAACATAGAGTACAAATTAATACTACATATTCTAAGTTACAAAAAAGCAAAAATGCTTTCCCAGTGAACATGTTAATGTCATGATGTGATTAAAATAAGTTGCTAAATGCCAAACAAGAATAATTCAGAAAACCTTACTCCTTTTCCATTTAATTTAATATGCCCAGTTTGAGATAATTATCCTTAACTGTTCAAAGAAGAGAGGTTTAGAGTATGCTCATCAAAGGCAGTTTTTTTTTGTTGTTGTTGAAGTTTCAAGTGTTTTTAAGGTTAAGTTAAAAGTGGCACATTCAGTGGGGAGCTACCATAAACAGGGGTTTCCTTCTGCACGACCTCCTTAAACTCTTAGCTGTCGAGAAGCAGAGCTAAGAGTGTTTATGTAATTGAGTTATTCATATTGGGCTGAGAAAACTTACACTTGCTTGAACAGCTTTCTGGAAAGAGTGAAGGGCAGAGAAGCCCCTGTCAGCTGGAAGCTAAAGGAACAGGGCAAAGGCATTATTCCAGTGTCCCAGAATATTCTGTCTTCTCTCTCATAGTACACTATAAAAGAGGAGTTCTGGAGAACAATTCTGATTTCTTGGTTTAGTTCCTTGGAGATGAGGAATTGGAATGAGTATAAAGAACAAACTCTTGGGACAAAGAATAGAGAGTTCAGAAATGAGGACAAAAATGTGCACTTGTTTCCTTGCTGAGCTTTGCATCTGGAGTGATTATGCCTTTTTCACCTCTGATTGGTTGGATTCCAATTCAATGGTGGTGCCTATCTTAACCCCCTAATCAAGCTCTGAAAGGCTTTCGAGATGGACTTTTGAAAGAGCGTTTGAGGGGACCGGGATGCTGGCTGTACTGACCTGCAGAAGATGGTGCGACCGGGTCTGAAAGGTGCATGCTGCTGCCTCCAGACAGCTGTCAAAGCAAGAATATCACCATGAAGCAAAGGGAAATCCAAGTTCTGTAAAGGGAAAGCGATGGACACTTGGACGGAAACTGTTTCCTGCTGCTACAAGGTAAGTCAGATTCTATCTTCTAAAAAAAGTGACCTTCATTAATTATAATCAGTCATATTTTCTTTAGATTCAATTTTTATGTTTGTTTGCTTGGGGATTTTTTTTTTCTAATGTCACTTCATTCTCTCCCACTTCTATTTTAAGGGTTATTAATTCTGATAAAAATTAATGTAGATAATTTTTATGTTATGGAAATGTAACACTTTAAGAAAACCCAGCAGAGGTTTTCTATTAAACTATCTAACTGAACATTAATAAGGACTAACATTTATTTAATCCCAACTTTCTATGACGTAGTCACTTTTTTCCCTCAACATTTTCATATAGTGTCTGGTTACTTAGCCTTAGAATTCATTTTGTCCAAAGAACACACTTCTTAACTTTGTTAATCCTGAGTAGCTAAAAATATTCACATGTTCTTACTATGTATGAAATATTAAAATAGAAAATATTTTCTTAATGCTGTCGTTGGTGAGTCAGAGCCTATGTACATTCTAATTAATGGTCAGGAAATATTTCAATTCTTCATGTTTTTTTACTATTTCCTATAAAAGTTGCTTTTTTCTCTACTGTATTTAAATGCTTGAAGTTTATGAGACTGCCTCTTTTAACTATTTAAAGTAACTTGCATTTTCCAGTTGAATTGATAATTACACAAGCCGAGTAATTTAGGTTTTTTGTTTTTTAAATTTCAGGTGGTGGCTTTAAAGTTTAAAGGGACCAGCATTGTACTGTGATTCTGTGCTGGGAAGCCGAGCTCACCACACCTGTCTTGGGTTAACAGGGGATACTCACTCCTGCACACTGAGCCACTGGGAAGTCTATGCCATCAGTCACTGCTGAAACAGGAGGCGGCGTTCATTTTGAAAATGATCCGTGCTGTAATGTCATGAACCAGGAAACTGGAATCCTTTACCAGCTCTTTATGCAAATATTTGGCTGTAGCTTGAGCTGCAGGACTTGGAAGGAGTGGGTTTTTAAAAATCTGCTTCACAGTCGAGCTCTTATTAACCCCATTCCTCCCTGGGATTGGTCCGTTTGTCTACCTTGCCCATGTTATCTCCCTGAGGTATGCTTACAATATCCTACTTGATATTATCTTTCTAGTCATGGGTTCACTTTCTACTTTGTTCCAAGAATACAAAGAAAGGCACCTCTCTCTTAGATTTCAAACAGCACAAAAATCTACAATCTACAGTTTTTAAAACACATGAAGGCTGCCTTAAAAAAAATGGTTAAAAAAAAAGAAAGGTAAATTACATATTTTGATAAGTACTAACTCAAATTTCCCTTTACCCTAAAGGCAAAAGAAGTGTGTGTGTGTGTGTGTGTGTGTGTGTGTGTGTGTGTGTGTGTGTGCGTGCGCGCGCGCGTGTGTGTGCCCGTGTGTTTTCAAACTGATCTGGCTGGCTGAAATATGTTTTTTTAAGTCAAATTTTCCAATCTGGCATGTATACAGTTTCTTCTGGCCTCGCTTCAATCTATAACTTCCATTCATGACTGCCTTCTTAAAATTTCAAACTACGGCTACTACTCTGACTTTTTAACAAATTAAGATAAGATTTTTCCTGCTTTGTAATATTTGATACAATTAACTCTCTCTTTGTCTTAAAGTTTCCCAGAGACATCCTTCAACAATTGAACAAAGTGGAGATCATCTCTGTTAAACCAGAGGGTTCAGGAACAGATGTCAATTATCCCCTGGTATCTGTTACCCTTGTCTACTGAGTATATTCTCATCACTCTCCTAGAATCCCATATCCTTCTGATGACTCTTAATGAGGAATTTTCTATCTGACTCTTGTAACTAAATTATATGAGTATTATTCCCATGTGCTTTTTATTTGAGTATTACTCTTATGTGCTTTCAAGGGGCACCGGCCGATAGAATCTTCCGGAAAGCAAGATAAATCAGGCTCCTCTCTGCCTGTTCCTACAAGTTGCTGGTTCAGAAGTCTTGCTTTATTTCTCAGGTAGGAATTCAGAAAAATTTAGATAAGTCAGACTGCTCCGGGAACAAAAACTTGTTGGATTCTCAAGTGAATTGCTTCCCTCTTGTTTTAGCTCCTACAGCTAGCTAAGAAGGGAACAGTGGTCAAACCAATCTATACAGGCCCCAAAACAATAGAATTGCCATGCCCAAATGGAACTTCCTCAGATGCAGCTGAAGCAGAAGTCTACCAAGGACCAAAGCTCCTTAATGAAAACTTGTGTTTTGTTATGAACATCTTGATTATTATTATTATTATTATTACTCCAGAAGCATTTCTCAATTCTTTTGTACCTGGTTTTATTAATCATATAACCATCTCTGAACTGAAGGTGCTGAGGCTACCAGACTCCTGCTTAGTATGGATGGACCTTCAGAATGATGAATTTAGAGAGAAAGTAGGTGGAGAGAGTTTTTATACTAAGAATATGAAGATCACTACAAAGTTTTGAACTTTACCTGTAATCGAGGTATGCGGATCTCTGACTTACTTACCTCTGCTGGTTGTTATTAAAAACCAAATGAAACATTGAATGTGCAAAAGTGCTTTAAAAAGAAGAACCGCTGAAAAGTCCTCTACAAAAGTAAGGAAGTTAATTCCTTTGTTACCTGAAATTCTGCACATGGAGGTGCTAACTTTTACAGCTATGTAGGCCAAATCACAGCAGGCTTATATCTGAACCCTAAACTCTGAGCAAAGGGTACGAATGATCATTACTAAAGAGCTGGCTTTCAATTCTTGGCTGGAATTTTATTTGAGTTGCCCTTCCCAGATAATATTATTACTTCCCAAATAATGATACTGAGCACTTACTGAGCAGTCACTATGTAGAAAGCATTCTTCTAAGTGCTGTAGGTCCAATAGTTCGATTAACCTTCACAAAATCCTATCATTCTCCAGTGTAAAGACAAGAGAGATTGAGTAACTTGCTCGAGAAGACACACCATGGAGGAACTCTGAACCCAGCCCATCTGGTTCTGAAACCTGTGTTCGTCACTCCGACATCATCTGCCTCCTCCCCTTTTATGAAGTCTCATCGCCAAACGCCCACTGCACACGAATAGCACCAGGCACAAAAAGTGTTGTGGGGGCTTATGCCAACAGGTTGGAGAGGGACCCATCCCAACATAGGCAATACAAGCCGGGGCTGTCAGATCCCACGTCCACACCCGAACCAACCCCCAGGCAGTTGTATGATCAAGGGTGTTCAACCACGAACTGCCCTCTCCAGGGGGATAACCCCATCTGGTTCACTTAGTTCTGCTGCTGGTCTGAGTGCTTTGGTAATGCCTATCTCTGCAAGGTGAACAGAGTGTCAGGGTGGCCATTTGACTGCCCAGTTCCATTTTGTAAAACCTGGAACTACTTAAGACTTCGTGACAGCCTGAGGAAGTGGTTCTATACTCCAAGCTTTCTCCTCTGCAGAGACATGGCCCCTGTTTGGCTGGGGCCCTTCAGGGACCTGTGATTTGCAGATAAATGACCTCAGAGATTGAGTTCCAGAAGAATGAGGAGGGAGGGGGCGGATCCTCCACAGAGATGCTATCCTGGAGGGGCTCCCTAAAATGAGGTGAATTTCTGGGAGAGGTTTTCTGTGGGTCTGTGAAGTCTGTACATACACTGGCTTCCTGACATTAGGGCAACCTACTTACCTGCCAGCAGTTCTTCCCAGAGGAACACTGCAGCTTTTATACTTAACTTTGACTAGTGGGAGATGAGATGGGCTTTCCCAAATCCTGCACCCTATCACATGCCCCAGCTGTTCTCTGTGGCTTCCTGGGCTGAACTGAGATGAAACTGGCACAGGAATGCAATGAATGGCCTAGGAAGGCCAGGTGTGGGTATCATGAGTGAGTGGGGTCTCAGGGGGCCTCTGCCTCTTCCCAGACACCAGGTTGAATGAGGCCTACTGACAGGGGAGTGAATGGAGGGGTTATGCTTACGGTTCCCCCCGAGGCTGCCTGGTGCGCCCTTCTCTGCTGCAGCAGCTCCTTCACTGTGATCTTCACCCGGACACCTTGATATACCTTCGGTTTTTCTGGAGAAAGGCAATGAGTCAGTGGTGAAGTCCAAGGTTTGGCTGTCAGGCTGCAGAGTGGGAGGGCCTCCTTTATAAGCTATGGCACTGGAAGCCAAACTTCTAGGTTTGGAAAACACAAAGAGAATGCTAAAAGATGGTAACACCCCACATTTCTCAAACTTGAAAGTGTGAAGCGAGGCTGAAAGGCTGAGCAGGTTTCAGTGGAAGCAGAACCTGTGGAAATCTGTGGGGCCATCCACCCCTGGCAGGGGCCCAGTCCTAGACCAACAGCACACAGGATTTTCTGCTCAGGAATGTGGAGACCAGAGCAGGATCGCGCACCACCTTGGACTGGTCTTGGGGGAACCTGGGGCTCTGGGCCCAGCCTGCTGTAGTGGGAGAGGGTATTATGGGCCCAGTGAGGGGCCAGTCCTGGAATAGAGGTGCTTTCTCTGATTGCAAGGTCGGCCTAGCCCACCCCACTGTGATGTTCCCACTGGTGTGGAAGTCCTGGGTCCCTTCCTTTTTCGCCAGGCCAGGCATGGCTTCTGGAGAGGCTGCGACCTCTACATGCCCTTGGCCTGGGAGCCAGTCCTGTCCTGGGCCGGCGAGGGCCCAGATTGACCCTACTAAACGGGCCAGGCTGAGGAACTCCCTCCCTCTCTTCCGTCCTTGCCTTCTGCCTTCTCTCCTCGCCCTTTTTCTCCATCGTTCCCTCCTCCCTCTCGGGCCCCGCTCCGGCTCTCCCCTTCTTCCCTCTCTCCCTACCCCTCCCTTTCTGGTGCAGGCGTTTCTCGGAGGCGCATTGGGGCTCCGGGGCGAGTCCGCGCAGCGCGAGCTCCGGGGAAAGGGTCCGAGGCTCCCGACTACCGCGCGCCCCGGGGGAGTCCGCGCTCCGGAAGGGGCCGCCCGGGCCTGGCGGAGTCGCCGGGCGCGCCGGAGGGGTCGGAGGGGAGGGCCCCCTGCGCCCCGGGCCCCGAAGAGCCGCAGTGAGTATGTCGACCCGGCTGCTCGGTCTTTGGAGGTGGGGGCGGCCGCGGAGCCCAACCCGGCTTCGGCCTTGACCTCGGCCCTGGAGGGAGCGCCCGGGAAGCGCGCGGGGAGGAGCTGGGCGCGGCGGCGGCCGGGGGTGCCCGCGCGTTCCGCCTGGGCGTCCGGCGACAGTCGTGCCAGGCTGCCAGCGCCTCGCCTGGCCACTGCCGGGACCGCAGCTGGACACCAGGGAGCCCCCCCAGCCAGGTCCCGGGACTAGGGTCCCCCGAGAAGGGGGCTGCGCTCTCCCTC